GGGCCAGGGGGGTGACCTAGGACATAATTAGATCTGCATTCTGAAAAGATTGCCGGGGTACCGGGGAGCCTGAGGGAGCAAGGAGCCTGCTGTAATATGAAGGAGCTCAAACTGGAGTGTAGGGAGGGGAGGGGAGGGGAGGGGTGGTGCTGGAGCTGCCTAGGAGGGAACCTCATAGGGCACAGAGGGGCAAGCAGGGGTCGAGAGGACAGCCAGGCGCAGGTTTCTGACAAGGGCTGATAGGGAGGAAAAGACAGAAAAGCACCTTGAGCTGAGCCTCTGCTTCTTTTCCCTTCACTTCCCCATCACTGCATTTCTGGGGTCACCCTTTGGTGCTCTGCTCATGCACGCAGACCTAGAGGACCACCAGGACCCCTCCCCGAGACGCTGGGCGGGGAGCACAGAGATGTGGAACCACGTGGAAGTCACTGAAGCATCTGGGATGCAAAGGGTCTGGGTCTGTGACTCTCTACTCACCTTCGGGCCCTGGGCTTCCTTGCTCTGGGTAGACTTCTGGAAGGCATAGCTCTTAGAAGTGGACAAAGGAAACTCTCTTCCTAGGAAGGAGACAAAGTTGTGCTTCAGTTCCTTCTTGTCCTGGAGAGGACACTGTAGACCAGGAGTTTTGACACAGCCCCCTCCCTGGAGGACAACAGACCTCAGGCAAACCAGAGCCCCTCAGTCCATTACACCTGCTGAATGACCTTGGGCAAGTTACCTAACCTCCCTGATCCTGTTAAAGGCTTAAATACCAACTACCTTGCAGGGCTGGTGAGCCAATTAAATAATGTATGCGGAGCCCCATACACAGTGCAAGCACTCAACCCACAGGGGAAAAAAAGTACTGGCTTCAAAAGAAAAACCAAAAATTGAAAACATCGAAATGAAGACATGTTGGCTTAAACCCTTAAAAAAGTTAACAAACTATCCATCTCCTAGAGTGTCATTAAATTTGAAGACAGTTCACAGGTTAGATGTTGTTCACTTTGCAACTCCTGTGTGTCCACGGTGATTGCTGGGAAAGCGAACATATCAAGCGGGGGTCATGCTCTTCTCTGAGGCCTGCCAGGCAGTCCCTCCCCTGTGCCCTAGACTGGCGCTCCGCAAACTGGACAGCGCTTACGGAGCCCTGGGGGACCACCGCGGAGCCCGGTGCAGCCGGGCTAGAGACGCTGACGCTGCTGGTCCTTCTAGGTGGCAAAGGCGTGGCTCTCAGTGTCCCCGCGCAGACAGGGGGTTCACCATCGTGGGGACTGTACTGCCTCTCAGGGGGCCCCTCCTTCCTGCTGAGTGGCCTCACATTCCCTGAGGGAGGCAGACTGAGTGGGGACAATGGCTTCATTGGCCAGAGGGCCCACAGGCTGCCGAAAGCAGGAGGTTGATTAGCCCGTCTGGGCAAAATTCTGGCCCTCCAGCTGCGCAGGGGCGCCTTGGGCGCATGAACCTCTCTGCCCCTCACCTCCTGCTGTAAGAGGAGGGGAACAGGCTCTCTCATAGGGGTAGAGTAGGCGGAAAACAAAGTAACACAAGCTGGCTGGTGCAGAGAATGAGTCAGTATGCGACAGCATGATTTTTACTGCTGATCAGAGTACAGCTTTGTGCTTAGACTCACATTCTTTCCGGTATGAACTGTTTCCACTATATTTGAGAAAAAAATAATTTTCTCACTCCTATCCTCCACTTCCAAAGGGTCCTGGGTGTGGCTGAGGGATTTCATTAGTGGGATGTTGTCTGCCCTCTGGGTCCTATTCACCTACTAAAGATAGGGCTTTTCTGTGTCCCTGGGGTGCCCCCATGGAAAGGATAGACCTCTCCCTGCTGGAGAAAATATCCACCTGACCCAACAGTGTGTCCCTTTGGCTTTGCAGTCCCGTGTTTGAATCCTGACTCAGCCACCCACAGGCTGGTTACCCCATAAAGTCCTCTCACCGCTGCCACGAGAAATGCCTCTGGGTCTTCTCGCATGCTGTTCCCTCTGCCTGGAACAGTAATTCTCCCCTTCACCCGCCTAAAATACACATCCTTCGAATCTCAGCTTCAATGCCACTTGCCTGCTCAGGGCTGGACTGGGTACCTCTCCCCGTGCCGCCTCAGCACGCTGTAAGCCCCACCACAGTGCCCAATCCAAGGTAGTGTCACTGCGTTGCCTAAATTCCTCCTAGACTGCGCTATGGGTCCCAGTAACCGGACACCCAGAGACACCCAGGAACCGGCATCCATCGTTAGAATACAAAATTCCAACTCTGCAGCCCAGCAATTATGTTGCGCTGACTTTTAAGTGCACCCTGAACATCAGCATTTCAGTCATTTTGGTGACCAGACAGGGGAGCGTCAAAGGGAACCTGGCCCGACTACCTCAATACTAAGGCCCTGCCCTGCCTCAACTGGATACGGGGGGTGTGGCAGGGCCACAGGGGGCTAAAGTCCACAAGTGGCACCTTACTCTTTAACAGTCGTTTTCTCTGCACAATTAATTCTTCTCTCCGGAATCTCTCTGGATCTAGTTCCGAGTAGTCCCAGCTGTTATAGCTCTGTAGGCAAGGATATATACCTAACAGAGAATGAAGAGGGATCGTGAAAACCTCCATAAAAGAGAAGGGAAGCAGAAAACAGAAGCCAGAGCCTCTCCTCCAGGAGCCCCCTGCTGGTCCTAGGGAGGCGGGGCTTCTAGCATTAGCCCCACCCTACAGTGGCCCTGAGCCTTGCGGAGGTGGGGGGAGCACCCCCCTTCCTCTCTAGGTCCGCTTGGTGCCTTCCTCTGGAAAAGGGAGATGGTGGGGCGCCTGGGTGGCTCAGTGGGTTAAGCGTCCGACTTCAGCTCAGGTCATAATCTCGCGGTTCGTGAGTTCGAGCCCCGTATCAGGGTCTGTGCTGACAGCTTGGAGCCTGGAGGCTGCTTGGGATTCTGTGTCTCCTTCTCTCTCTGCCCGTCCCCCACTCGTGCTCTGTCTCTCTCTCTCTCAAAAATGAGTAGATGTTAAAAAAAAATTTAATAACTTAAAAAAACAAAACAAAGAAAATGGAGATGAAGTTCGCCCTGCGTTCCAGACAGCGTGAGTGTCAAGATCCTATCCGATCACACCAGGACACGTGACCCTGTGTACACAGATGTGAAGGGTTTGTAGACTTTGGTTTTCCTGCCATCTCCTCTGCTCTTGCTGGACTGGGAACTCCCTGAGCGCAGGACCTGGGCCTTACTCACCTTTGCACCTCCAGGGCTTAGCTCTGGACCTAGCACATAACAAACAGGTGCTTAGCAAGTATTTGTCCAACATCTTATCACACTTAGCTAAGTACCAGAAATGGGTTCTCCCTAAATATTTGATGGTGACACTAATGGGGCTGATGCTTTTTCTTGTAAGAAAACCACGTGCTTCAGAGTCTTGGCTCCTGGAACCTGAACGCTCAGACATTAGAAGGATTCCACTTTCTCCCTCGGTTCTTTGGTGTAGAAAGGAAAAGACCAAGGATCACTTGAGAAGTTTTGACCACCTATGCAAAGATGCTGCCTCCACTGGACAAAGCAAGTGGACGGGGGGGGGGGGGGGGGGGGTTATTGCTGAGAATGCGTTAGGGGAAGGAGGCACAGTCTTGGACAAAACGGGAAATAGGAAGGGCGAAGCGAAGAAAAGAGTCGGAAAATGAGAGGAAGGATGGAGCAGTGGTCAAGACCTAGCTTTGCAGCGGGACAGCCAGGATCTGAACGCCTGCTCCCCTGTTTGGTGGCTGTGGGACTTCTTGGAGTCTGCATATGTTAAGAGGATTAAATGGGTGTGCAGAAAAGGCTGAGCAGGCACAAGGCTGTTCTCCTTGGAAAATCTTGCTTGTGAACTTGGCCTTTGGCTAGCATCTGCGAGTTGTCTGGTAAACATTTCTCTACACTGATATAACTTGCCCTAACTACCCAGAAGTGGGCAAATTCCTGGAAGTGTACAACCTACCACCACTGAATCATGAAGCAATACAAAAGCAGACCAGACCGATAATGAGTAAGGAGATTGAGTCAGTAATCAAAAACCTCCCAAATAAAGAAAAGCCCAGGACGAGATGGCTTCACAGGTGAGCTCTACAAAACACTTAAAGAATTAACTCCAACCTTTCTCAAACTCTTTCAAAAAAACTGAAGAGGAGGGAACACTCCCAAACTCATTTTATGAGGTGAGCATTACCCTCATACCAAATCCAGATTAAGTATGCTACAAGAAAACTACAGACCAATGTCCCTGATGAATATAGATGCAAAACCTCTTAAGAAAGTACCAGCAAACTGAATTCAGCATCATTTTAGGACGATCATACACCATGGTCAAGTGAGATTGATCCCTGGGATGCAAAGATGGTTCAATAGCCACAAATCAATCAATCAACATAATACATGTTAATAGAAGGAAAGATAAAAGTCATGATAGTCTCAATCGGTGCAGGAAGAACATTTGTCACAATTCAACATCTTTCTGTGATAAAGACACTCAACAAAGTGGGGACAGAAGGAACACACCTCAGTGTAATAAAAGCCCCATATGACAAGCCTGCAGCTAACATCATACTCAATGGTGAAGAAAAGCTTTTCTTCTAAGACCAGGAATGAGATAAGGGTGGCCACTCTCACTACTCCTATTCAACATAGTACCAGAAGATCTAGCCAGAATGATTAGAAGAAAGAAAGGAAAAAAGGCATCCAAATCAGAATGGAAGAAGTAAAATCGTCTCTGTTTGCTGATGACCCCATCTCGTATGCAGAAAAATCTAGAGTCCACCAAAAAACTGTTAGAATTAACAAATTCAGTACTTTTTCAGGATACAAAATCAATATATCAAAGTCAGTTGGGTTTCTATACATTGACAAGGAGCTATGTGGGAAAAAAATAAAGAAAACAACCCAACCCCACTCATGATAACATCAAAAACAGTGAAATACTTAGGAATAAATGTAACCAAGGAAGTGAAAAGTCTGTACATTGAAAACTGTAAGACACTGATGAGAGAAATTGAAGGAGACACAAATCAACGGAAAAATATGCTGTGTTCATAGATCAAGAGAATGAATATTGTGAAAACATCCATACTCCCCAAAGCCATCTGTAGATTCAATGCAATCTCTCAAAATTCCAACGGCATTTTTCACAGAAGTAGAGAAAACCATCCTAAAATTTGTATGCATCCACGAGAGACCCTGAATAGCCAAAGCAATCTTGAAAAGGAATATAGGTGGAGACATCACACTCTCTGATTTTAAACTATATTACAAAGCTAAGAAATCAAAATAGTATGGTACTGGCATAAAAACAGACACATGGAAACAGAATTGAGAACCCAGAAATCAACCTACACATAGATGGTCAACTGACATTTGATAAGGGAGCCAAGAATGTACAATGGGGAAAAAACAGTCTCTTCAATAAATGGTGCTGGGAAAACTGGACAGCCACATGCAAATGAATGAAACCGAACCCCCTAATTTTTACACCACTTAACAAAAATTAACTTGGAATGGATTAAGGACTTAAATGTAAGATCTGAAACCATAAAACTCCTGGGAGAAAATATAGGGAAAAAGCTCTCTGACATTGGTCTTGCCCATGACTTTTTGGCTACGACAGCAAAAGCACAAGCAACAAAGCAAAAATCAACAAATGGGACTACGTGCAACTAAAAGGCTTCTGTGCAGCAGGAGAAACAATAGCACGAAAAAGCAACATATGGAAGGGAAGAAAATATTTGCAAACCATACGTTTGATAAGAGGTTAAATATCCAAAGCATATAAGGAACTCATAGACTCAATAGCAAAAATAAGTAAATAAATAAATAATAATAATAATAATAATAATAATAATAATAATCTGGTTAAAAATGGGCAAAGGACCTGAACAGTTATTTTTCCAAAGAAGACGCGGCCAACAAATATGTGAAAAGGTTCTCAACGTCACTAATCAACAGGGAAATGCAAACCAGAACCACAGTGAGATATCACCTCACACCTGCTAGGATGGCCATGATCAAAAAGACCAGAGGTAACAAATGCTGGAGAGGATGTAGAAAAAAGGGAACCCTCTGCACTGTTGGAAGCGATGTAAATTGGTACTGTCACTATGGGAAACAGTATGGAAGCTCTTCAAAAAATTAAAAATAGAATGACTCTATGATTCAGGAATCCTACTCCAAAGGAAATGAAATCACAGTCTCAAAGAGATACCTGCACCCCTAGGTTCCCTGCAGCATTATTCACGATAGCCAAGGCATGGAAACAGTCTGAGTGTCCGTCAATGGCCGGATGGATAAAGAAAATGTGGCATATATATACACAATGGAATGTTATTCAGCCATAAAAAGAAGGAAAGCCAGACAATGCAACAACGTGGATGGGCCTTGAGGGCATTATGCTAAGTGAAATTAGGCAGATGGAGAGAGACAAATACTGTTACGCGATCTCACTTATAGGCGGAAGCTAAAAAGCCAAACTCATAGAAGCAGAGAGTAGACTGGTGGTCGCCAGGAGCTGGGGATGGAGGAAATGAAGAGATGTGGGTCAAAGGGGGTAAAGTTCCAGTTATAGGAGGAACGAGTCCCAGGGATCTACGGCATGATGGCTACAGTTAACAATACTGTGTTGTATATTTGACTGTTGTCATGAGAGTAGCTTCTAAGTGTTCTCACCATAACAACAAAATGATAATTACGTGTGATGAAGGATGTGTTAACTAACCTCATTATGGTAACATTTCCCAACATATGCATGCGTCAAATCGTTACGTTGTGCATCTTACACATACACGATGTTATGCATCAATTATACCAATAAAGCTGGGGGAAATTTTTCCCCTAACTGGTAAGAGTGGCAAGCTGTAAAACAGTGTGGCTTCTGCTGAACACCTGCTTTCCTGGAATTTTGGTACATGACAGACAGAGGTCTCTATGTGACCAGCCCCCAGTAGAAAGCTTGGGTGCTGTGTCTCCAGCCGGCTGGGCAGAAACATCACACGTGTTGCTGCATTTTTGTTGCAGAGGGATGACAGTGCCCTGCCTAACTCCTCACGGAAGGGAAACAGCATGAGGAAGCTTGCACAGGAATTCCTCCAGACCCTGCCTGTCATTTCCCTTAGGAATATTCCCTGGCTGGGGGCACCTGGGTGGCTCAGTCGGTTGAGCATCTGACTTCGGCTCAGGTCATGATCTCATGGTCCGTGAGTTCGAGCCCCGCATCAGGCTCTGTGCTGACAGCTCGGAGCCTAGAGCCTGCTTCAGATTCTGTGTCTCCCTCTCTCTCTGCCCCTCCCCTGCTCATGCTCTCTTTCTCTCAAGAATAAATAAACATTAAAAAATTAAAAAAAAAAAAAAAAAAAAAAAAAAAAAAAAAAAAAAAAAAAAAAGAACATTCCCTGGCTGTGTAACCTCATTGCACTGCCATAATCTTGGCTGTCAATACTCCTACGTGCTGAGACCTGAGAGTTCGCCTAGCAAATACCTTAATGTGGGAACGGCTTGGAGACCCCCAAGACAATAGGAAATGTAAAAGAGTGCTTACTTAGCACAGTACTTAGGACCCAGGAACTTCTCAATAGGTAGGAGATTTTAAGGGCCTTAGAAAATATCTAGGTTGAGAAGAGGGGAGTGGGGAAGGGGAGTGAAAAGTCGTTAAAAGCAAACACCACCCTGGGCACTCACTGTGCGGGCAGCAGGGACAAGGGGACTACAGTTGGGTCACGTGGAGTCACCCGGGGGAGGAAGGTTGGGATCGTCCAACCAGCATACGCTTTGGGGTTGCTGAGTTCTGCATCCATCAGCCCCACAGCACATGGCCAACTAATGGGGCTCGGCTGGAGCCTGCTCCCTACAGATGCACTGGGCACAAAAAGGGACTAAGAACATCTCAGAACTGTTCTGCGGAAACAGGCGAGATCAGTACTCCACGGGGCTCTAACCGCACACCTTACCTTCTTGAACGTCAACGAGAGTAGAGGATGGCTGCCTCAGTAAAGGGTGTTATGACCTAGGCTCAGGCAGAAAAGTGTTTCCGGAATCGTGTTCCCCAGGACAGAGCAGGCTCCTCTTACCCGAAATCCACAGGCTCATTGTGTTGCAGATGTCCGACTTGAAATCGTGCGTGTTGAACCAGGACTGTGGGAAGCAGCAACAGAAGCTGGTGTACAGGGCTTTACTCAGAAGAGATGGCAGCCTCTGGGGAGGGCGGGGGCGGGGTGGGGGGGGGGAAGCAGAGCTCAGGCCATGTTCTGGACGTTTCCACACCCAGAAAAGAGCCCCCGACTGTGGAAAGGATCTGTGATAAAACTCTCCACCTGACACCGTGCTGCCTTCCATTCACGGGGGGAGCAGTTTCTATCTGTCATTGGCCCACATCTTGGTGGACTCCTTACCCTACCTGGGGACCCCACCTCAGACCTCAGGCTAGGCTTGGCCAGCAACCTCCCCCTCTCGCTTTCCCTCTGCACGTGGTCTGCGGCTCAGCCCCTCCTGCCACCCCCAAAGAGTAGCCCGGATGACAAGATACATTTGACCCACCCATCAGAGATTACAGGAAGTACCACGACTGTTATTTTTTTCCCCTCTGCACGCGTGGAACTGTTGTCCCTTCTTAACTACGGTTGAGTTCAAATTATACATTTATATCTGGCTTTGTTCATTTAACAATATAGTAGAAGCGCTTCCTCAGGTTGTTAGAAACTCTTCGGGATTTTTTTTTTCCCACGAGTGAACTTCATAATATTGTGCTGAGTAGGCATATCAAAATTTACTTCAACACCCCCATCGGGGGGTACCGTTTCTATGTCTGGCACATAGCAGGCAGTCAAAACTTTGTGGAATGCATGAGTGAAAGCAGTTTTTCCCGAGTATTCGATTATGACTTCCAGAAGATGGAATCACGGGGGCGCCTGGGTGGCTCAGTCGGTTAAGTGTCCGACTTCAGCTCAGGTCACGATCTCGCGGTCCGTGAGTTCG